CATCAGTTGGTGGCTTCTTAGAGAAGAAGAATACAGACTTTGGAGATGAAGTTAGAAGAGTTAAGAGCAAATGCAGTTGCAAAGATGCAAGATGGTTGGATGTTGGAACAGTGATATACTTAGTTGTTAAAGAAAAGAAACAGGTTGAGGGCAAGGTTGGCAAATGATGAGGAGGAGTTGAGAAGATTAAGGGCAGAAGTAAGAAGAAGAGAGAAGAATAACAGAAATAGAATATCAGATATTGGTTTTTAACTTTGTTATATATATATTTTTTTGTTTTTCTTTTCTTTTTGTATATATATATATTTTTTTTGTTATTATTTGTTTTTATCTCTTTTTTTTGTCTATTTTTTTCTTTTTTTTTTTTATAATTTTTTTTCCTTTGGCAGCCTTGCTGTAAACCTTTATTAAGATTCTTGTATATATGTTATATATATTTTAACTTAAGTTTCTGGTCTGACATCCTTTGGCTGCTTTTTTAAGTGCCCAGAGTTGGTCTGTCATACTGGTTGAAGATATACTCAGATCTAGGAGCTGTATCAAACTAGCTGATAAGGCTATATGTAAATGGCCTTGATTTACTATAAATAAAATTTGTGATTAAGCCAGACCATGCCTTATGTATTTCTGTTTTTTTCACCTCTTTTTCAATTTTTCTGGCTTTAATCATTTGGCTCTTTTCTATTTTAATAGCTTTTCTTATAAAACTAGCTTCATTAACTTTCTTTGTTAAATTTTCTATCAAACTTCTTTTCTTTTTTTTGTTCTTTTTATCAATTCCTATTTCCTTTTTTCATAAGACAAAATCTTCATATTATTTTTTCTATATGTCTTTATAGAAGCAATTCCATGCTGTATTAATTGCTATTGTTACAAGCTCTTTTATTTTTTTACTTGAATGAAGTATATCTTGCAACAAATTTAGTGTTTATTTGAGTATTAGATCTTTGATTATTTTGCATCATGTTTTACCTTTTTCTTTAGTTTATAAATTCCAAAATACTTCCTTAAGCTGCTCTTTATTTGCTTCTGCTCTGGCTTCAGCCAAGAGCTTTGTCTATGCCAAATTCATTAATATATTCTCTATATTTATCTATATATTTTTATAATATTTGCATATTGCTAAATGATCTTGATCTTCTTCTATATCTTCTTTATATATAATGCAATATGGATTTTTATAAAGATTTGGATAGTATTGTACTAGTATTTTGGCTACTGGCAATTTCTTATTTATACATTTAATTAATGTTCTCATATATTTATTTTTCTCTATACTTGAACATTTGCTTCTATTTTGGTCTTTTATTTTTTTCCAAAAGTATAACCAATTATATGTTCTATTACTTTAATCTGATTCTGCCTTTTTGATTGCCATTATAAAACTCTATTCTATATTTTTTTTTAAATCTAAAATTTCTTTTATAAATTGTTTTGTAGAGTCTTTTATCACTTTATTTTTCCAACAAAGATTTACACTAGTTATTTGTATTGTTTCTTTCACTATTCTATCTATATCATTTAGTTTAGCTCTCTCTTTTGCTAGTTTATCTGCTTTAATATTCCGCCTATTATTACTGTGCCTTTTAACTTTAACTAGTTCTAATTTAAGCTTTTTTAATTCTATACAATTATTAATGTTCTCTAATAGATTGTAGTTTTTTCTTTTAAGTTATTGTCTTAGTGATCTTTTTGTGTTCTTCTCTTCTATGTTGGCAATTGCTGTTGTACTATCTGTAAAGATTCTAACTATTTTCTTTTTTGGTATTATAAGTAGCACAAACCATATTGCTAACAACTCTAGTTTTGTTAATAATAGTCATTTTCTTACTCCAAAACATTCTTCACCAAGAATCTTTTCATTTTTTTTGTTTACTTGTACCCAGCCTGCACTCATGCGATCTGGATTTTGCTTTATAATTTTTGTTCCTTTTTTTAAAGATCTATCTGTATAAAAAATTAAATCTTCTTCTGGTCTTGTTTTATTTAAATTTTTCTCGTAAATGAGTTTTTCTTCATTGTCTCATTTATTGGCTGCTTCTGAATAATTTCTGCTTTTAGATCCATATATTGTATAAATTCAACTTTTCTTTTGCTAATGTTTGGTTTTATTTCTTCTTTTTCTCATGGCTGCTCTATCATATCATAACTCAACTCTAGCATTTTCTCTTTTCAATTTTTCATAAACTTTGATATTGAGCCTTGAATTTTACTCTTGTTTTCCCACTTTATACAATTTTCATTTTCTGATCTTTGGCCTAAGATGCAGCCTTTGCATTTCTTTAACACTAATTCTACATTTTCTGTTTTTGTATTTGTTTTTCAATGTTTTGTTAAAACCTTTTTCTATATGCTTGCAATGACTTTTTTAACTATTGGACTTGTAATTTCTTTTTTCTTGTCTGCCTTTTGCAACACCTATTCTTTCTTTCTTCTATTTTCTGAAAATGTTTTTCAGTTGAACTTTAATTGCATGTTCATTTGGATTTCTGACTGTCTACTTCTCTTTTATAGTTCTGTTTTGCCTATCCTTTACTAGTTTATTTTCTATATTACTAAACCATTTTGCTTGTTTGCCTTTACATGACTGTCCATATATTAATTTAAGCTGTCACTATAATAGTATTTGATTGCCCAACTTGCTAATTAATTGTTCTATATATATTAACTTAAGTTTTTTAGTACTAATGCTACTTTTTTCATAAACTTAGCATTTAGCAAATCAGTGATTCTATTTCCTTTTCTAATTAGCTTTGAACTTGAATTACTGAATTTTACTATAACTTGCAATTCTTTGGCCTTTAGTATTATGTAGCATGCTAAATTGTTTTTCCAGATTCTATTATACAACTTAGAAAAGTTGTCATGCCAATCATTTACTGTTGTACTAACTAATAATAAACCTTGGTCTATTCATATTCTTGTAACTAATTCTTCTATGCCACCTGTATTGAGGCATGTATATAAACTTGCAATTTGCTTAATAATAAGTTGATCTCATAATGAATTGCAGTTTTCTAAGTTCCTGTATAAAATTATGCTGTTATCTGCTGTTTTTGCTATACCTAGCTTGTTTTTTGCTACTCTTAATAAAGGGCTTTGTATTTTATCAACTACTGTTTTTGTCAACTTTGTCATTTGCAGTATATATAGTAATTTTAGAATAATGCATATATTGTTTATATATGATACTTGTGCTATTGTTATTTTTTTTATATCCAAGCTTCTTATTGTCAATCATACTGTTTCTTAGGCTCTTGATCTAATTAAAGAGTCTTTTAGTTTGCAATTTAACCAAACACTCAAGAATCTTGTTATCTTGTTAGCACTCTCTTCTTAAATTTACTCACCTCCAATATTTATCTCTTTGTTTTTCTTTTTTTTTCTTGAATTTATAATAATTAATTTCGATTTTTTTTCATTAATTTGTATATCATTTATTTTGAAAAAATTTCTGCAATCTTAATAGTTTGCTGCATTTGCATTTTGCTATTTGCAATCCATGTTGTGTCATCTACAAATGCTACTATCACTTGTCTCTATTCTGTCTTTCTGGAGCAGTCTTGGTTATAATTATATAGTACTGATGCTAATAATATATAACCTAGATTGCAATTATCTTGGATTCTTTCAAGGATTGGATCATAAAAGATTCTCTATATTAGTGAAGATAAGACTTTACCTTGTTCTTTTCTATCATTAATTTTGATTGCATCTGTTGTGCTCCAATATGTAATAATTCTGGGTTTGTTTTTTGTAAACCAAATTTAATATGAATGTGATTGTAATTTTAGGAATTTTAATTCTTTTTATTGCTAATTCCAATGCCTCTAGTAATACTAAATCAAATGCCTTCTTCATATCTTGTAGTACTAGCCATAATTCTTTGTTGTTGTCTTTTGCATCTTCTATTATAGCATTAATGATATGAACTGGCTTCTCTGTTAAGTTGCTTGGCAGGTCTGCAAAGTTTGAACCTTTCAGTATCTTTCTTTTACAAAATATTTGTATTAACCTTTTGGTGAGAAACTTGGTTGTGCACTTTCTAAATGTTTCTAGTAGTGCAATAGGTCTTATATTACTTAGATTGTAATGCCATTCTTTGCTTTTTAGTATTGGATATATTTGTGAAATCTTCTATGGTGCATGTAGCCTAAAACTGGAGTCACGTGATACCAGCAGCCAATTTATGAAAGGAAGATATGGTTATGGTGATTGGCCATAAACCCGAATATTTACGAACAAAAAATCATTGAATATAAAATACGAGCACGCCTTTCCTAAAATTTCCAAAATTAGAAAATTTGTTCATTGTCGATTATAGATGCAGACGTAAAATAAGTCTGCATCTATATTGTCGATACAATATAATGTAAGGTCGATTGTGATGGTTACAGATTACATGATGATAGCGCAACGATAATGCAATGTTAATGTAACAATAATTATAAGTTAACTTAAATTGGTAACAGAAAAAAAAGATAAAATGTAATATGTATTGATTGTGCAAAAATGACGCAAAAATGATGGCAACTATAGTCAGGGCAAAAATAATAAATAATGTAACAATAGAGATAGCCCAAGCTCAAATTTTGATTCAATTCGAAGTTGAAGAGAGATGAAGTTACATAGTTGAAGTGTAACGGAGTAAATTGAATGAAGAGAAGAACTTTCATCACGAATACTAGCATTCCTTTAGATATATCATCATTATTAGCCAGGCAGGTTAAGGTTAAACTTGTCCATTAAAAAAAATAAAACAATTGAAAAAAATAAATAAATAAAAAAAAAATAAAAAATAAAAAAAAAATAAAAATAAATAAATAAATAAAAAAAAAAAAAAAAAAAGAATATTGAAACTATCTAATAATTAATCCATACTTCAAATCCATACTTCAAATCAATTTAATCTCAGTCACAAAGTTTTGATTAGGACAATTAGAATTTTACCCCAATCCACTCATTTTATTTTCGTTACCATTACCCGTCCAAACAAATGAATGCAGCAACTTAAAGCTGCTAGGGCCAATAAGCATGCAAAGCATGCAAATTATAAAAATCTGGATAACTATATTTGGTCGGATAATAATATTGATGAAAGGTCTTCCGATTATTTTGCTGTTTTATTGACAGCAGGTAAAAATATAAATGTTTGGAAACCTTCGGGTAGAACAATATATGTTGAAGGTTCTAAAAGAACTCAAAGACGCAAAAAAGCAGAACTAAAGAAGGCTGCACAAAATACTCGACCTATCACTGCATACTTACCCCCTGCCTTAACATCTTCTAATGTTGCCTCGGCTTCGACTTCTACTTTTGGATTGTCAACAGAATTATGTGTGCCAACTGAAGTAGAATCAATAGGAAGTGAATCAATGGAGGTGGAATCAATTGAGGTAGAATTGGTGGAATCAATGGAGCTGGAATTGGTGAAATCAATGAAGACAGAATTGGTAAAATTAATGGAGACGGAATTAGTGGAATCATTGGAGGCGGAATTGGTGGAACCAACAGCAGATGCATCAGCTGAAATTGATGAGAAAACAACAATGAGGTTAGCAATTGAGGAGCTAGATGGATTATTAAAAAAAAATGACAATCAAATAGATAAAGATATAAGGGTTCGTTTGCAAGCATCATTGCAATATTTACGATTAAGATACTATCACGATCAGACTAAAATAAGGGCAAGCACAACGATTGCTAGTTCATTAGAATGGGGAGATTATAAAGCATGATGTATTTGTACATGGGCACAAAATTGGTTAAAGTGGCGAAAACTTCTTAAAGATAATCATGGCAAATTCACAAAAGTATCAAGCCTTCTTGATGATGAGAGAATATTCATGAAGATATGATTTTTTTTTATAACAAATTTTTTTTACACATCTTAATTCTTTGTAACTTAGAATAATTATATTTAAACAGATAATGTCATATTTAAGAAGTCACAAATTTAGTGTGAATCCCAAAGTTTTAAAACAGTATGTAGAGAATAAAGTATTTCCATCCTTAGGTATTGAAAAAAAGACAACAATATGTGAGAAAACGGCGTGGTAATGGCTTAGAAAATTAGGTTGGGAGTGTAAAGAGTAGAGAAAAGATATATATGTAGATGGACACGAGCGAGAGGATGTGGTGCAATATAGACAAATGGTTTTTTTGCCAATAATAGAGGAATTGAATCCTGTTCTTCTTGAATATGATGATCAAGATCTTACTAAACTAGTAAAAAAGAGCATTCTCCCTGAAAAAAAGAAACATTGTGTAATAACATATAACAAGACAACATTAGCCGCAAATGATGATGAGAAAACAGGATGGGGCCCCAAAGGTTTGTTTATATTATAAAATGAATTTCGAGCATTATTTGTCTTGAACTTTGAATTTTTAAGCAATGATGCTTTTTTTTTTTTAATTTTTAATTTTTTTTAATTATTAATAGGTGAACATAAATTACATCAAAAAGGACAGGGCAGGTGCATTCACATTAGTGAATTTTTGTGTGAACCACTGGGCCAAGTTCATTTAACTGAAGAACAGCATGCAGCTTATCCCGAAATTTCAAAATATTACATTATGAAGTTATTAGAAATTGGAGTGAATTATGAAGGTTATTGGAATGTTCAATTGCTAGCTAAGCAACTTGAACAGGCAATTGACATTTTGGAAATTGCACTTCCAGATACGATATTGGTTTTTGGGTTTGATAACAGTTCCAGCCATGGAGCCTTCGCTGAAGATGCATTAATAGTAAACAGAATGAATGTTGGTTATGGTGGTAAACAACCCAAAATATGCCCTGGTCGATTTTCTGATAGCATGTTTCAAGAAATAGTTTTTTCATTAAATCATCCAGACGAAAAAAAAGGGGTCAACCAAAAGGAATTAAGGAGGTAATAACAGAAAGGGGAATATGAGATAAGCGATTAAGAGGCAAATGCGTTAAATGCTCAAAAGATAAAACAAAAATATGCTGTAATAAGAGAAAATTGGCTAGGCAGCCAGACTTTATAGAACAGAAAAATGTCCTTGAGGAAATTGTGCTTAAACGAGGTCATAAAATATTTTTTTATCCCAAGTTTTATCCAAAATTGAACTATATCGAATATTATTGAGGGGTAATAAAAAGGTACGCAAGAAGCTACTGTAATTATACTTTTCAAGAATTAAAAAAAACCGTACCAGAGACTTTTAATTCTGTAGATATTATAACAATCAGGAAGTTTGCAAGAAAAGCATAGAGGTATATGGATGCCTATAGGAAAGGATTAACTCCCTCTGCTGCCGAATTTGCAGTAAAAAAATATAAATCGCATCGCAGAATTCCTGAGAATATTGAATTGTAATAGTTGCATAATAATTAAATAAAATTATTATAAAAACTTATTTTATGTGCTTTATTATTTTATTATTTAAATTATTCATTAATTTATATTTAAAATTTACTTAAACTGATTACCAACAAGATAAAGTAGATTATATTGATACAAATAATGCGTGATCTAATTTTTCAATGTGAGAATATGTGAACCACTAGGTATCTTGGTAATTAATACCTTGTCCCATTCTAAATTTTGGGTAGTGGGCTTAAAATATACAGATTGGTTTAAAATACAAAAAAAAATAAATACCCGATAGTATGTTATATGCAGTATCAAAAGTTTAAACAAAATTATTAAAATGTAAATACACCATAAAATCTAGATTTAATTCATGATAAAGATAATACTTAAACATTAGTAAAGTATGCAAGATTAGATCTATAATTGTTAATAAAAATTATTTGCAAAGTTGTTTTTATAAATTTAGATATTATGCTATTTATTTAATAGTTATGATTTTGGAGCCGTTATATTGAAGATATTAACTAAATGAAGACCCTTCAATGGGTATGAATTTAATAATAAAATTACATTAGAGAGTTGCTTTGAATTGCAAGCCGAATTCATTCTTGGAACTCGAATCTATATATTTAATAAGCTAGATGTTCTGCTTCACAAAACGGCCTGTTTATTAACTTAAAATTGTTAGCATTCAAAGAAAATGGTATTTATTTAAATTACACTATATTTGAGTGTCGCAAAACTAAAACATGCAATCTTATTAGATAAGATTTGCATGTTTTAGCCTTGTAGTACTTATTTAACACATTATCGATGTTGGATGTTAGAAGATTGGCCGGGAAAAGAACAGCTATATACAAATGTATATATATACGTATGTACGTTCGTAAATATAGCAATAAACAGTATGTAACAATTATTTAATATATTAATATAAATAGAAAATAGCTTTAATCCAAATAATTATATGATATAACTAGAGATACAAATCGTTAAATGTGTATACATATTTGGTGAATTACTATATTAAATAGTGGCCAAATTTTAGTATTAATATTAAATTGTTTCAAATTTAATAGTAAATAAATTTGAAACTAGTATGTTTAAATGAAAAATCTCTGTGTAATATTAAAGTACTAGTTTTATAGCATTAATTTACAAAGAGATTTTTTTAAATGTATATATATATTTATTAATTATAAATAATTTTTAAAGATATATGTATTTAAATCACGTGACTCTGGTTCTAGGCTACATGCACCATACTTTTTTGGTACAATGCCTGCCTTAATGCATATTTCTACAAACTTCTTAAAAATTTTTTGTACTTGCTCACATATGTAATTTCTGTTATACCAGGTGCTATGCTTTTCTTAAGTCTTGCTAGCATTTCTTCATTTGTGATATTTTAATTCAATTTATTATACTAGTTTGTATCTATTAACTTCTTGGGTTCATAAATTTTTTTCTATCCCTCCTTCAACATTTCTTGGTTAAAAAGTCTTGTTCTTAGCTGATTCTGAAAATGGTCTTTTGTTTTTTCTAAAATTACTAATAGTTCTGTAAACAATTTTCTTTGACTGTCTATCTTCTCAATTATCTTGTCTATTTATATTTTTTTGCAAGGTTTGTCTAGCAAACTATTTATCATTTTTCTTTAATCATTTCTAATTATTTGACATCTTTTTTTCATAAAGTCTTTTATTTCCTTCTGTTATAGAGCTTTGATCTTACTTGTTCTTCTTGTGTATAATATTTTCTACCACCTTTTTAGATCTTTTATCAACTCTTGTAACTATTCACTTTGAGTTGTATCTATATATGTTTTATGTTGGTAGTTAATATATTGCAATTCTTCATTTAGTTCTTCTATATTGTCTTTTGTTAATTTGACTCTAATATTAATTTTTTTTATACTGAACCATCTTCCTAGTCAAGTTAGAATCTTTGATAATTTTGCTTCTTTTACTTTCTTTTTCTTGTTTTCTGATATATTAAATATTCTTTTTTTTGGTAATTTCTTCTTTGCTGCCAATTGAATTCTGTTGCAAAAAATGTCACACTAATCATCTAATCTGTTTTGTAGGGCTGCTTTTGTAATGTTTTGACTGTCTAAATTTTGTGAAAATGATTTTAATTCTTGTAATTGAATTTTTTTTCTCAGCTGAAGATCCAATTCGACTTTGTAGTTTTCTATATCCTCTTTGATTGCTTTATCCTACAAGAAGATGGTTCTTTGTTGCTTTAATCTTTTGATTTCAACTGCACTATAAGGTTCAATTAAATGTTCTAAATTGATTTTTGCTATTACTGAACTGTGATCACTATTTATGTAAACATCCATCTCTTGTATTTCTGCATTAAATAGTTCATTTGCTAGTTCTTCTGTAATTCAAATTTGATCGATTCTCGATTCTGAACCTCTACCTGATCATGAGAACTTCTTTTCCCTGAGTTTACTAGTCTGTAAGCATCTCTAAAATCTTGTCTTGTTAGCCACTTGAGTAATGGATCTTACTTAATTGTTTTTGCTTTTGAACTTTTCAACCTATCCAATTCTGAATTAACTACACTGTTAAAGTCTCCTATTACAATTATTTGTGTTCTTTGTTAGCATTTGATATATCTTTCAATTATTGTTCTTTGAATTTTCTTTTTTTCTTCTTTGTTATTTGGTAACATATAAAGCATTATAACTATTATTTCCATTTGTTTAAACATGAAGTTGGCTATAATTATATATTTATTTATTCTATCTATTTCTTCTAGATGTTTTTCTCATTGTTTGTTTATGAGTATGCCTATACCAGACCTTTTTTTTTTGTTTAAATTTGCATTTGCTCAAAAACCTCTATATTCATTCTGATTGTTTAATATAAAAAACTTTTCTTTGCCTAAGATATTTGTTTCTGCTATACTGATTATATCTATTTTGTTATCAATTAACCATTCTTGTAGAATCTCTATTTTTTGGTTATTTCTTTTGAGATTATTAATATTGTGTGTTGCTATATTTAAGTTAATTTTGTCTTTTGTATAGATTTTCTTTATTGGCATTTGTCTCTCTATTTTATTTTGTTGATTATTTGTTCTGTTTATATCTTCAACTTTCTTTTTTTGACCTCTAAAAGTTCTTTTGATATTTCTATTAAGTAATTTCTCTTTAGCTTTTGAATTATTATTTAGTTGGTATAGATGCTATCTTGTATTTGCTTCTGAGTTAGTATTTGCTATTAGTAAAGAGGAACTTGCTTCTATATCCTGGTTTTTTAATTCAACTATGACACCTTTCAGGAGTAATTTATTTTTTCTTTACTTATACTTGCATTATTGCAAATATGATGTGTTTCTAGTCTATCTAATCTTAATAGTATTTTTTGCAATAATTCTTGCATTTGGTCTGAAATATTATTTTCTTTTGCTTGATTAAACTGACTTATAAGAGTGTTATTCTCTTTTTCACTCTTTGTGTTCTTAGTTTTTGTGTTGCTTCTCAATTCTTTTTTATTTGTATCAACCTTAAGATCTTCAGTATTTCTGTATTTTTGATTGTCCTCTCTGGAATTTTTCTTTTTCACTCTTGCTTCATTCCAAAAAATTTGATAATTGTTGTATCTTATTGGTTTTGATTTTGCTGCATCTATTTCTTTTTTAGATGCAAATGTAATTGTTGCTGACCTTTTTTAATTACCATTTCTATTTGATAGTATGTACACAGACTTTGCTCCTTTGCTTTTTAAACAGCATAGAAGCAACACCTCTAATGCATTTGCTAGAAGGTCTCTTAACTTTGTTGTAAACTGGCTTTGGTGATCACATTAATTATAGTTCTCATTACCTTTGATTATTCTTGCTAATTTGTGGGTTCTGATTGGTAATGACTATGAAATGTTCTCCTCTGTAAGACAGTCTGTTCTAATTACTACTAGAGCTTTAAACTTAGATCTTTTAATCCAAATTACTTGTACCTTTCTAATGTTTTTGCATATATGTTTTATTTCTCTGAATTGATATTTGTTAGCAAATCCCAAATCATAAAGTAGTTGTATTGGTCTGTATTATCTTTAATTGCATTGGGTTCTTCTATTTTGATTGCCTCTATTAGGCTTGTTGGCTTTATATATTCTTTTCTCTTCTTTTTGCTATCTTTGAATTGTTGCTTAGCAATTTTCTTCTGTTTATTGCTCTCTTCTGAAATAAGTTTGAGCCAGTCACCTTCTTTTTCTCTAATTCTGTCTATTGCTTGGTTTCTACTATATTCACAATCGAAATCAATCTCAACCCAGTTATTGCCTTTTTTGAAAACTTTTTTTACTGCTTTAATGTGATGGTTTTTCCCTACAATCCACTTGACATATTTGACTCTTTCTTCTTTTGAAGCTCCTGGCAATGCATAAACTGGCATATTTGCCTTAAAGGAGTTTTTTTTGTTACAAATTCTGTTTCTTGGTGACCACTAGCTATGTTTGATTGTATTTAGAAATATTGTTTCTGCATTATCATTATCTTCTTTTTCTACTTTCTGTATTCTTTTGTCAATAGTTTTAATATCTT